GCCCTCCCCCCCCGTGCCAGCCACTGTGATGCCCAGCTGGGAGGTTGGGAACTGGAGTGAGGTATGTGTTGAGTCCCATTAAAAGCGTGATGTGGCTGGTACGGAGGTGAGAGACCTGTCCCTCTCCTGGCTGGTCTCTGGGGCATGGCTCTTTGCATGCAAAAAAATGTGCATGGCTCACACATGCTCCAACTGCCACTCCGTCCTGGATGTGGCTGGTACGGAGGTGAGAGACCTGTCCCTCTCCTGGCTGGTCTCTGGGGCATGGCTCTTTGCATGCAAAAAAATGTGCATGGCTCACACATGCTCCAACTGCCACTCCGTCCTGTCCCGCTCTCTTGGGCACCAGCCACGGCAGAGGCTCACCTGTCGGCAGCGGCTCCTTGCCGCTGCAACGCTCAGCCCAGCCCGGCACGTTTGCAAGCAGCCCGTTTGCTGCCCTGGCACACCTCCCTGCTCCAGGAGGGCTGGTTCCCCCGTGCTCGGCGTTCCCTGCTCTGCAGGGGGGTCCCGGGCAGCGGGTGCTCGGGCGGTGGTGGCAGTACACGGCGGGACCCAAATCCCTGCCCGCTCTGGCAAGCCCAGAGCCCCCGCGCTGGAGCTGAGCACCCAGGGAGACCCCCTGGCACGGGAGCAAGCTGCTGCCATTTTATAGGAGAGACTATCTTAAAATATGCCACGAAATGGCAGAAATTTGAATGTCAAGTGCAAGGCGCATCAAGGCTGCAAATTACCAAAGGGAAGGGGCTGTGCTGAATGCAGTGAACAGGGGATTATCAGCGATTATCAGCTGTCCCTTCTGCCTAGCTGTCCCGGGGCTGCTCTCTGCGTGGCATTTGCAGTGACAAATGGCTGCTGCAGTTCACGGTAATGAGCTTTTATCAGAAAGCACAAAAACAACAAGCCTTCTGTGTCGTGGAGCACCGGAGGCGGAGCGTTGGGGGAGTCTTTTAAGAAGACGGTAACGGTCAGGACAATACTTAATATCAGCAAAAATACAGGCCCACATGTGGGTTTTACAAAAGGACTTTGAGCATCACTTGAGCCGGGGCGTTGGGGGGAGCTCTGCCGCGGGGTGGGGCTGGTGGCAGCGCCGTGACACGGAGGCACACGGGTGTGTTTTGAAAGCCCTGCAAAGGCTTTTAAGATGGAAAGGCTGCTACAAAATAAATCAGTCTGGACAGCAAGGGGTGGATCCAAAAGAGGTGGAGGCAGGCACTGCCTTTCAGGTGGAGAGAAATCTTTACTGGAGCTTTTAATGCGGAAAGGGCAGGGGACAGGCAGTGCTTGTGAAAGAAGAGCATGAAACAGAGCTTCATGAGACAGCAGTCAAACGGTTGAAGCCGGTAGTGCTAA